ATAAGCCATACCAATCAAGGCCTTAATATATTGCTTATTCTTTTCACCCTTTATGTTTTCACAAAAAGAAATTTCATCTTTTCGTATATATGATGTCAATATAGATTTAATAATAAAATTACCGTGGAAGAAGAAATTAACATGAAGGGTCTTTATACCATGTCAATCTATGTTATTTTCAACAATATAATGTATCATAGAAAGATACATTACAGTTAGCGCAAATTTTAAAATAAAAAACAAAAACAAAAAAAAGTTAGCAAAAAGAAATAAAAAATTAGGCAAAACATAAGAAAATGGTAACGAAAAATAGAGACTTTATCTTTTAAATAACGCTTACCAATAACGAAAAAACAAACAACAAACATGGTTTGGGCTGCAACATTACTCAAAGCGGCGATTTCGAACTCGCGAATCAAATCAACTGATAACTTAGCTCCGATCATCCTGGTGATCTCAGTTTATCAGCATCGTGATCTTCATAGAGATGCTTCGGATTCCAAGAGACTTCGGCTCGGTGAACGCGACGGCTTCCGTACTTGTGCTCTTACACATTCCCTCTTTTTTTATTTTGAGACAACATATGTTCTGATATGGTCGATGAAGAAGCAACCACAAGCCTCACTAATCAAACTTTCAGTTGTTCTGATACCATTAATGTAACGAGTCAATTTCAATTATTTGTAGCTCATCATTTTTATTTAAATAAAATTTATATATATAGGATGATGGATTTATATGGCATCTAACATAGTAATCAAATTCCACTCATTTTTACTCTTTTTTTTTTTCCATGTGTCTACCACTTGCACAATGTAAATTTACTTAAAATGATGGATTTCTAGAGCATCCTAACCATATCATCAAATTCCACTCATATTCTACTCTCTTTTTCTCTTTTGATATGTGGAATATGAAAATTTTTTTGGTAATCATATAATCAAATTCCACTCAAATTTTTTTATTTTTTTAGCGTGTCGTCCACCTACATGATGATGTAAACAATTAGTATATTGAGAAATCCAACAAAATAATTAAAATATTTAGTATAGATTTACTTTAAATGATATATTTCTAGAGGAAACCAACACATTACTCATATTCTACTCATTTTTGTTGTCTTTTGATGTGTCTAATACTTGCATTAGAAAAAAACGAATACGGTGAATGGAGAGAACCCAAGCGAATTCCAAATCCGATTGGATCAACGATCTTCTAGGGTAAAAATTCGTACTTTCTTTTCCTTGTTAGCTCGATTGCTTCTGGGTGTCTTTCAAACTCCTTTTTTTTTGCTGAATCGACTTGTTTAATTTCATGGGTTTTCGTGGAAATTGATCCTATGTAGGTGATGTACCTGCTGCTACAACGGAAGTCGTGGAGGTTGCAGTCAACGAAGACCATTTTCAAGGAATAAAGGGAAAGATTGGGCTAAAGCATCAGGAGCAGGAGCAGGAGCTGGAGCTGTTCGTGCTAAGTATCTACGTGCTTTTGCTGCTAAGGTATTACTCTATTTGATGTTTTATGATTTTGATGGTATGTATCTTCAGATCTTTTGTGTTAATGGCTCAATGTTTTAAGATTAACACAAAGAGTAGTAAATGACTTTCTCGCCGCTGATTAAGATTGCCTGGTTAATTGTAACTACCACTTCCTAATATGTAGGAGAAGAGTAACTCCAAGTGTACTTCTGCAAAGAAATCATGAGTCTCAAAAAAGTTTTGCATTTCGTCCAAAAATTGAATGGGATTTGGTTCTTGTATCTCCAAGTGTACTTTTGCCTTGTGGTTCATTGGTGTAGTGGTCTCAACAAGCTTCTGTGTTTTTTTTCCAGCTCTGTGAAATGGGCTATCATAGCCTCATAGGAGTCTTTATTGGTGTCTACTTAGTGATTCTCATGTTATGTGGTATCAGATCGACATTTCATTACGAGATATTTTGGAGATTTAAGTTAGTAGACATTAGAAAGTGCAACGAATTAGTACATTTATCAAAAGGCATTGTTCGTGAGAATAGCTCAACGAGTTGCACACATACAACGAGTTTCAGTTAGACATTATTCAGTTTGTTTTGGTTTAGAGACTAGTCTCTCTCTCTCAGTATCTTTATATACTGGGGCCTGGGGGAATGTTGTGAAGCATGTTGGACAAATTAGAAGGAGATAAAAAGGAAGAAGAAGAACTAGCTCTTGCCATGCTCAAATGTTTGCCCTGTCTTGCCTTCCGCTTAAAGTATAGAAGAAAAACACCCATAACTTATCCCAAAACCACAACTATTAATAATTATATTTTTACAATAATTTCTATGAAAATTTAAACATATGTAAAATATTAAAAATTGTATGAAAAAAACATATCAAGAACATTGTCTTTTTAATTTTTTTCAAAAAAAAAATTGTCTTTTTAATGAAATGCACAAATATTTACGTCCTATTGGGCCACTTGGATTCACCCCCCAAGTGCATTTTTTCAATCCTCTTGAATGTATTGATCCTGATCTCATCCTATTGGATTTCTCTCTTTTTCTTTTCTTTTTTAGTTATACATTATTTGGGACATTAATTAACTTTAGACATTGTTATATCTAATTGACTTTCCATTAGATATTTTAAAATTAGTTGCACATTTAAATTAGATACACATTAAACCGTTCTTATGCACAACTCAATAAGATCTCTCTATATTTTTAATTTTGATAGATCTTTCAATAATGAACTGTAAATCTCGTGGCCAATAAATTCTTTTCATCTTTTTTTTTTCAGCTTTCTTTACAACAATTCTTCAAATCTTATATAATCTTATATATGTAGAGAAAACCATTACTATTCTCTATAAGATTTCTAAGACTTCATATATAAGTAAAACCAATCTCTCTCTTATCTTTTTTTTCTTTCTCAGTTGAACAATCAAAACTCGAAACAATAATGTCCGAATACAAAAAAGTGGAAGAAAATTATCTAAAATCGCTTCATCCTAAACTTACACCAAAAGAGTTAGCACAAGTCCGAAAGGACGAGAAAATTACATGTGATGCATGTGTTGGCCTATCTCTCATCTTCATGTTGATCTTCATGATGGGCTTCTTCATCTATATAGGAATTGATGAAAGGACTCCCATATATCAAGTGGTTGTCATCAAAATGATTTCTATGGATTTCGTGGCTGAGTTCGATGATAAGAACAGTACTACCACACAACAAAATTGTTATCCTCCTGAACTAATTAGTGCTAGATGGGATTTATTGATAAGAGTTCCTGGAAATCTTGTTGGTTACTTTATATGCCTCCAAGGAAACTTGCAAGCTTCTTTTCTTTACAAGAATATCACTCTTGTTACTTCCTCCATACCAAGGTTACATACTTGGAATAATTTTATTGTTTTGTTATTATTATTTGAAACCAGTGAATTAATATTCTCATGTATGATTGATACGTAGTTACAACAAACTCGAATTAGGTGTTCCTCAACTTCTCAATGTTTCAGTAGTTGCTACTAAAAAAGATTTGAGCGATGCGGTTGGGAAAGAGATTGTGGATGCTATCAAAGAGAGGAATGAATTGAGGTTTGGATCGCGGTTGTCTCTTACGGATTGTAGAGAGGAAACAAAGAAAGGTACGATGAGCTTCGAATGCGAAGAAGCCAAGTTGCGATTTGAGCCTGACTCTGATCAGATTAAGGCGACTACGTTTGCAAACCACCCTACATGCAATTTCAGTTTCTATGTTTAGCTTATATAACTTCTTGTTGAACTTGAGACATGAAGGGAAATACAACAAAGAAGAAATACAATAAAGAAGGTTTTTTCCTCTCACAAATTATTACTTTTTATAATGTATAACCCATTACATTTGCGAAACTTAGTGAAGCTTTTGTAATAGTGTATTACCACATGTATTTTCCGAACCATATTTCATGCTATCATCGCACAATTTTGTCCCTAATCATGCAATAGTATTCAACTAAATTGAAGAATACGACACAATCTCTCTTCCGTTCCACAATCTTAAATAAAACAACATGCTGTTTTCATGATTTTGAAACAACAAACAGTTTAGATAAAACTCTCTCAAACAACACGCATTTTAATAAGTACTATAAATAAAACCCAATTTTCAAATATCCATGGGACATTTTAGCCGGTATCTAGGAACGGCGATAAGCCTGGTGGCTCTAGGCGTCGTGAGACCGAACATATCAGTCATGTCCAAGTCACCGGAGCTAACTCCTTCCGGTAATTCCCAATCAAATGAATGAAGCATATTCGCGGCGGCGAGTTCCATACCATAAAGTCCTAATTGCATACCCGGACACGATCTCCGACCCGACCCGAACGGAAGAAACTCGAAATCACTACCTTTGAAATCCGGAGCTTTACTTTCCATAAACCGACCCGGTTTAAACTTATCCGGTTCGGTCCAAACCGAACCATCTCGACCAATTGCGTACACATTGATCATGACTCGTGAATCACGGGGAATCGAGTAGCCAGAGACGACGGAATCCGCCGCAGCTTCGTGGAGGAGAAGCGGAATCGGTGGATGTAATCTCAATGTCTCTTTGATCGCGCATTTGAAGTAAGGAAGATTATCGAGATCGGTTTCGTGAAATCGACGGTTTAAACCGATTACTTGAGCTAGTTCTTGTTGCAATTTCACTAGCTCGTGAGGATTCTTCATTAGCTCAGTCATTGCCCATTCAATCGCAGACGCAACCGTTTCCGTACCGCCAAACATCACATCCTAAAACATCATATAATCATTTATTATCCGAATGTTATGTATAATGATTTTATAACATCGATTTGAAATCAATGAAATTGTTAGTAGAAAAAAAACATATGGTTATAATCAATTTTATTACGTACCATGACAAGGGCTTTGATGTTATCTCTTGTGAGTCTAAGTGAAGACTGAGAATCATTAGATTTATTACCGCTTTCGCCGCTATAAAACGCCATTAGTTCATCGACCATGTCATCGTCCAAGCCATCATCGTCATGTTTTCGCGATTTCTTCTTTTCGATATGTGCATCGATGATTTTGTCTATGAACCCATCTAGAGATTTCCTAGCGTTTTCTAACCGTTTGTCGAAACCGCGGTTGCTAAACCATCTCATCCACGGTAAAAACTCCGCGATATCAAACGCTCCAAAGAGTTTCGAGAACTCTTGTAGTATCTTGACGAACTCTTCTTGACCGTCGCGAGCGAACGACCCAAACGCAGCTCGGTACGTTATGTTCCGAGTCAAAGCAAATACAAGCTCGCCAACGTTAACCGGAAAACCGGTTTGTTTGGTCAGAGTTCGAACCATCGAATCAATTTCTTCTCGTACCGAGGCCCATGATTCGGCCCTTTTTCTGCTAAAGAGCTTCATAACGCAAATCTTCCTCATTTGACGCCAAAATGGACCGTAGTTCGCAAATGCCATATCAGCCCGATTGTAAGTAAGATATGAGATCGCGACGTTAGCTGGCCGGTTTGCAAAAACCACATCTTGAGCCTAACATAACCGAATATTTAACCTCAAATTCACACATACTCAGTCCAAATAAATAAAAATGTTTAAAATTTTGTAGAATTTCAATTTTAACACTATAGATTTATGATTTTAAAATTTATCCTCCATGGTGGTGGTACTCTACTAAATATTATAATAGTATGTGACTAAATAATAATATTTAAAATATCTATTTTTTTTTAATTAAAGCGAAATTGACAATAACCATAAAAAAAAATTATAAATCACTGACTAAGCAATTCATTAAGATTTGGTGGCTATAACTTCTTCACATAATCCACTTGTGGTTAAATTGCTAACTAATTATCCTTATTTTATTTATTAACCAAATTCACCGTTAAGAGAATATTACATACCTGAAGAATTTCGCGGGCCATTTCAGCAGTCGAAACGGATACAATATGAATTTTACCCATTTGAAGATGTAAAATACCACCATACTTTTTGGCCAACTCGGCTAAACCACGATGATTCAATTGATTTTGTAGTTTCATATTTCCGATTATTGGATATCCTTTTGGACCAGGTGGAAATGGAAGACTCCGAACAAACAAGATTCTAACTAGATACCAAAGAAATGGAAAAATAAGAAAGATATATAAAATTGGTGAGCAAAGCAAACAATCCATCTTTTTCTCACTTTTTTATGGTTTTCTAATACAGAGACCGAAAAGATGGTGAAGAGTTTTTTTGTATGGTTGGTTATATACACATTAATCTGGTTGTTATTTGAATATATAGAAACAAAAAAACACCATAGAATGTGAGTCACTATTACTATTTTCTTTTTGTAGATTCTGTATTTGATTGATTAGTTCCTATAAATGTTTATGGTAAATCATAACTAAGATTTTTTTCCGTTTTTGACATTTAAAGATAAAATCTATTTGGGTTTTTTTTTTTAAAGTAAACAGTGTTAGTCTAAAGAAAATTTTGTCAATGTTAGTCAATATTCTCTATCATTTTGCAACAGTCAATATTTCAATAAGGATAACAATTTTGGAGATCTTGTTGAACAAAATCTTAAAATTTTTTGTAACATTTTCTTTAGTACTGAAAAAAAATTATTAGGAAAGAATCTTACTATGAAAAGAACGTTGTTAATTACACACCACCTACGTAGATTTCTTAAAGACTTGCATGAAGACTGGATAGTAATCTAATCACATTTTTTTAGTTTAAATACGATAAATAATTATATAGAAACATGAAGCAGACATTCGTTGATAAATAATCACATATATATTTTATTTTATAAATGGAGAGAATTAACATTTGGTTAAAAAACGATCCTTAAAGTATTGGGTTACATTTGTGATTTGTTTTTTGTCGGGGTTACATTTGGTATAATACCAAAAGCGAGACTTGAAAATGTAAATTCAAAGTTTATAATTCTGACACCATACCAAACGGTAGATTTGATTTCAAACACACTCTCTCTCCTATCTGAAGC